GTCTGAGCGAGATCTCAAAAACAGGTAAAAGATTAAAACACCAACTTCTTATGAGTAGCAGACCTTGAGGAGTAGGTTAAACCATTTTGGTTAAACGCGTCCGTCGTAACTTCCGGTCGTCAAAGTAAGTGATCAAAAAAATCAAAAATTTTAACTTTTCTTTTTTAAATTAAAGTTTGCATCACTTTATTGCATCTTTTTCGCTGTTTTGAAACATGTTAGATTCCACCGGAAACAAAAACGTCAACTTCCGGTTTTAGGTGATAAGCTACGTTACTTCGATATTTAACCTTCTCATAAATATTGCTCATCGATAAAGTACTTGAAATGTTTTTATGCATTTTGTAGATACTGCAAATGTATAGAAAAACGTCAGAGATTTTTTATAAAATTCACTTCCGGTCGCGTGTTTACCTGTCCTCAGAATTAGAAATTGCTCGGCAACAGTAAACGACTGAAGTCTAAAACTTTCAGAACTGATAGTCATTCATCAGTTTATTTGAATCGCGAGGAAATTTTGTATCGCCGTTACTTCTGGTCGTGACAGGAAGTGATGCAAAAAAGTGAATGGTTAATGGTTAGCACGTTCGATTTTCACGCTGACAACCAGGGTTAAATCTCCAAAGTGTCTGAATTTCTTTTATCACCTTTTCAGCTTGAATTTACGTTTTTACTTTAAAAATCGGACGGAAGACCTCTCATTGCTCGCAATGAGTTTCTAGTTAAGGTCTTCCGATTTACAGGGTTTATAGAGTGTCTTACAAGAATTCTAAATATGTATTCAATATTTTGATGCGTGCATTTATTGCAAAGATATGACCGATCCAAATTTTGTCCCACTGTCTGGGATTCGAATCCTGCTGGAGGCAGTTATTTTTTTTTCCTTTGTTTTTCTCTTTTTTCAGTTGCTAATGACTTCTCTCTCTTTGAAAACATGTATGGTAGTTTTTGCTGATTTTTAAAAGCTTTTTTGTCAGAGATTCTGTAGAAAACCTTTCGACATATACTGAATATCTTTGCATCTATAATATGTCCTTCTAAAACTATTTTAAGGATTTCATTCTTGTCCCCAAAGCCTGACCCATTCAAAAGTTGTCACCCCTTTTGCAATAAAACCTTGTTATCGCTACTCCTCCGAAACCGTAAACCGTAGAGATTCCAAGCCTTCATCAGTGTCTTCGACTCATTTAGTGCTCTCTTCATTCTATCATTGCAAAAGCATTCTTTGGTCCCTTGTATGAGTTACTGCCCCTGAAAGTTTACGCTGCTTACATTTAATGAACTTTTTTTAAAAAAAGGTGTATCCTAGAGACATGGGACCAACTGCATCGGCATATTTGACTTTGATCTTGAAATATAGGTCAAGGTCAAAGGTCAAGGTCATTTAAAAACATAAGAAATTCCTTATATATGTGTAAAATATAGCAATTCACCAAATGACCTTGAACTTTGACCTTGACCTTTAACCTTGACATTGGGTCAAATGAGACGTAAGGACATGCATCCAGCTCCAGTATCAGGTAAAAACATAGAAAGTAAAAATTTCCTTGAGGTTTTTTTGGTTATGACCTTGACCTTTGACCTTGACCCAAAGGTCACAATCAAGCTTAAGGATGTGAAAGTAGTTACAATTCTTAGTTTAAAAGAGGCATAAAATAAATAATTCTTCCCCCCCCCCTTTCTTAAAAAAGAATCACATCAACAACAACGTAGAATATTTCTGTAAAATTCAAACCAGACCTCGGATCGACACCAAATTTGGTACAAATGTAGTATAGACCTCAGAGAAACTTTCTTGAGAGTTTTACGGTGAGTCTTATAAGTTTATAGAAGTCATGAAGTTTCACGGCAAAAACTACACTTTCTGTTGTGTTTGAAATTAAAGTGCAGGTGAACGAAGAAATGATCTAAACCTTTTATCGGCTATTTCTTCAGATGTCGTTAGTAGCATTTAATTTTCCTGATATGGTACGACATTTTAATACCAAGAATTCTCTCTTTCTTTTACATCTGGAATTTATTTGATTTTTATTTAGAATTAATCAGTTTCCAGAAATAGCGATTTTCAGTATATTAAAAACAATTCTCGCTTTCATTGTCGTGTTTCCCTTCTAAAAATGCCTGTTGGGAGTTTAATTTGTGCTACACATATTTAATTTAACCCAAAGAAATGCTTATTTAAATGTTTCATATTTATTTCAGGATATTCAGTCAGAAATGTTAAAATCCGAACCCGATCTTTTAAGCTTACAACAAAGCTATTTTCAAAAAATTAAGCATACTCACAATATCGATGAATCGGGCTACAAGCCATTAATACATTTTCATTAGGGAACAGTGTTAACGTTTTCTCACGCAGCCCGTCCCTTGTTATTTTATATGCTGCTTGCAAGTTCAGGAACTATTTCCCTTTACGGAACTTCTTTCTTCCCCTACCGATTCTAAAAACGCTTGTATTTATTCTTTAGTCTTAAACAATTAACTTACCAATTTTATCGGAATGTGTAGCGCAGTGGAAAGCGCACCTGCCTTTCAAACCAAGGGTTTTGAGTTCGATCCCAGCTGGAGGAGCAATTTTTTTTTTTTTTTTCATTTTTCTTCTTTTTTTAGCCCAAATGACACGGAAACACTTAAAAAGGTGGAAAGGCCTCTAATTGTTCTCTGAACAATTTGTTTACTAGTTATTATTAAGGTCTTCCGATATATATGATAAGATATGAATATGAAGCTTGCTGAGGTGATAGAACATCAAATGTAGATATGGTGATCGACCATTTTTTTTCGTCGTTCGTACTTGCGGTCGCAAACGGAAGTGTATTCAAAAATGTTATATTTGCAACTTTTTTTTGTTTTTCAATATTTTTCTCTGGGATTTACAGGGTTAATAGAGATTCTTCTTAGATTCTAGGTATGTTTTCATCATTTTGATTGATGCATTTATTGCAAAGATATGACCGATCTAAACTTTCTCGTATTGTTGCGGGTTCGAATCCTGCTGGGGGGGGGGGGATTGTTTCTCTCTTTTTTTCATTTGTAAATAGTTTTTGCTTATTTTTTAAAGCTTTCTTTAACAGAGATTCTACAGAAATCCTTTAATAATCATGATCTATGTTGAAAGACTGTGTTACATAAACACAAACAAAAAATACCTTCAATAAAGTATTAAATGAAGTGAGGTAGCATAACCATCTGCAGAAAAGTTCGGTCGGAAGACCACTTGTTGCCCTAGCAACAAGAAACGTATCTAGTTATTATTATTATTCTTTTTTTTCTACTTTCTTCTCCGGTACTTTTTTGTCCGGGAGTGTTCTCATAGAACCACTCATCCGATTGACATGAAACCTTTTCAGGGTTAATAGGCATGTTGTGTAGGTGTTCGGAACGAAGGTCATTTTGCGCGCACATGCATGCACGTGCGCGCGCGTGCAATGAGTGAAATGACTGATATACTTGATGAAGCCGTAACTTTTATATTTCTTGATGAATTGCTTTGAAACTCAAAATATAAAGATATATTAGTAGTCTAGACAAGATGACATGGTCAAATTAGCGTGAACTCACGCGCATGCACGTGCGCTCTTCTCTGATTGGCTGATACAAAAATCTCAATAATTTCCTTGTTTTTGGACAAAATACTTTGAAATTTAGAATATAAGTATATATTATAAGGTGCTACAACATGTCATATAGGAAATTTCTTGAAAACACGCGCATGCAGGTGTGCTGCAATCTGATTGGTTGAAACTTTAAATGTCTATAACTCCCTTGGTTTTCAACAAAACAGGATGAAATTTACGACATGGATAGGCACAAAGAGCTCCTACATTATGATACTATCAAAATTGAATGCAAGGCCATGCATGCGCATATGCTGAATTCTGATTGGCTAATACTTAAATGGTTACATCTCTCTTATTTATCAATGAAATTCTTTAATATTTAACACAAATGTATGTATTGTGAGACACTATAAGAAAATTAATGTGAAAAATGTAGAAAACATGTGCAAGCACATGCACTGAAATTTGATTGGCTAATACCCATATGGCTATATCGGAGTAGTTTTCCAATGAAATACCCTTAAAAATAAAGTGTCCATCTATATTACAAAAGTATTGTCTAATTTATTGAAGCTTGTAGGGAATGGGGCATCATAAGGGATTGGGGAACCGTTTGGGAACATCTGTAACGGTTCCCGTTACAATTAGCACTAGTTGTATTTGTGTGTATTTGTGCACTGACTTGTGCAACTACTGTTGTAAGTTTTTTTTATATTATCTTTCTCTCCTGACGTGGAAGAAGCGCACAGTTACTTTGTCGTTACCGAGTGTTTTACAATAGATGTGTAGCATATGTCCGTCTCCACCGGTAAAAACTTATTACACTGAACAGTGACTAAGTGAACGGCTTATATAGGGGACCTCAGATATAACGACTGAATAAAAGAATATGGCGGAAAAATTCCTTTTACGAATCGTGTTCAGCTTTAATATCCATGTAGTAATATATTTTTCATAACATTCTATTTCCCAAGATGATGTAGATTTTCATGCCTGAAATCAGACAATCTGGCTCGTTGGTTTCAGAAGGTGAAAAACAAAACTATGGCCTCTGTGTTTTGTTTAAATTGTCTAAAAGGATAACCTTTACCGGCAGGAACAATACACCTACAAATTCTACGTGCATTGAATTCCATTTCAAATAACTCTGGGTTTTTTTTTTCGTACATCTTATGTAGCATCACAAACTAACTTGATTACTCTCAACTTTGTGGTATCGATAAATATATTCAACACTTTACGCTTTACTTTCGAACTTTCCACCGGATATACAATATATACAATTAGTTTTTATTTTGAAATACCTTATAAAGCTCCTAATGTACAGTTGATTTTTTTCTCGTTTATTGAGTGCGGTTTGATTATTCATGCTTTGCAGTGAATATTTTACAACCTAGAATCAAGAAATGTAAATTAGGTCACATGTATAAGTAAGTGTACCATATTGGTTCTGTGAAGCTTGATCCGTCTTCTTCTGATTATCCCAGGAATTTGAATGAGCGTCCTTTTTGTTGTCTCTTTCTAAATCAATCGCTGGTGTTGCTGTAGATTCGTTGCAACTTGGCTGTTTTCCAGTGATATTTTTATTTTGAGGCATGTTAGCTAAAAATGTCATTCTTTTACATATATGTTTTATTTCGTGTGTGCTAAAACTTGATACTTCCTCATAAGTATTTATGTAAGTGTATCACTTCATTTATGAAAAGACATGCTGTTTAGTTAAAGAATAGTAAGTGCCACCATAAACCGAAACTATCCTTTGCATAATGAAAAAAAAAATGAATGAATTATTTGCATATAAATCATTTATGAATAACATTTTTATAAACAACAAATGTTTCATTAGCATAAAATAATTGCATACACAATACAGATCGAGTCTCCCAAAAGTATGAACCGTAATAGCGTCAAATCTCATCGAAGTAGAACACATAAAGTAAGAATGATGTACCGAAAATTAGCTAAATGTATATACAAGCGTCAAGAAAAAAGTCATGTTAACCAAGTGGAACAGACGGAAAGGGAGAGGAAACTTATCCACTTCCCTCTTCCGGCTTCGCCTATAGGGGAGCAATAACACCTCGACAGCGTTCAGGAAAAATAGATAGTTTTTAAATTCACAGACAACTCCGCCTTGTGCATTGAATATATATATTTCTTTATAAAATGATATTGTCTAATAATGATTTATATTATATTCCATTTGTAGTTCGTGAGACGATAACAATAACTTTTAAAAATACAAGATAATAATGATTATGATAACACATTATAATAATTCATTGGCGGGGGGGGGGGGGGTCTTTAATCACGATATACAAAATAAACTACCTGAGGTATTTTAAAGAAAAAGGTATTTTAACGTTACAGCGTATTAACTTTATGGTTTGGGCCATCGATATCGGCCTGGGTATCTCTGTTAGTGGAACACCTGACTAGTGCAAGGTTCCAGCTTCGATTCCTGGTCCAATTACATTTTCTACTTTCCTCATTAACAGGTAAAGTCCTGTCAGAGCAAATAAGGACTTGTGTCTCCGAGGGCGAAGACATTTTAAGGAGGGAGGAGTGTAATGGTTTGGACGTGAATATCGCTCTGGGCAACTCAGTTGGTAGAGCACCTGATTCTTGAGGCAATCATTAAAAGTATCTTTGCTTCCCCTAACCCGACCCTAAAATCTCAAGTTGGGTAGGTAAATATTTTTTTTTTTCTGACAGCAGCTTTGAAAATACATTCTGAAATTTTATGGACTTATACCTTTATAAATAAAAAGTACAAAAGACATGTACAGCGATTTCTAAACAGAATATCATACAAATGTCATTTTAAAGCAAAATATAAGGTAAATTAATTCACAACTATATTCAATTGAACTAGTGAAATATATCACGCGATGCAAAGTAAATTTATTGAAATCGAATATTTAATAAGACAAGATTTTCAGATACGCAAAGACCGGACTTCTTGCACAGAGAGAGTATTTTTAGGCATTGTGTGCCTGTTGCCCAATCTATTCAGTATTCTGAATAAATATTGTTTAAATCAAAGACCGGACATCCGAGTATATTTTTCAAACCAGTGCCTCGAGTTGTGCAGTGGTTTTTGAACATTTCGTTTTAGAGTCCCAAGTTTAGGAGCTAATTCTAAGTCGGAGGTTCAAAATCCAATGCGGAACGTTGAGACATGTCCTTCGAATGATAGTGTAAAAACTTAGGACCAGTGTCGCAGTAGATGCTGGCGTGAAAAAGATCCCTCATTACTCACTGGCCAAAAGTGTCGAGTACAAGTCTAAATTTGGAGCCCTTCATCGGGTAAATGTTCAAATGTTTTCGTCCCAACAATTCTAAAAGGTATTTAAAACAAAGATACAACCACTCTTCAAGGGCCTAATTAAAGAAAAATACACTGGACGTGTCAGGAAGCTGTATCATGTTTTCAGAAGAGTATGTAAACAATATTTAAATAAACAATATCTAAATTTGATAAAAATGCCATACACAATGTTAAAGTCACGAAGTTTAATCCATGAATAAAAGGAATGAAGAAAGGACGTCTGAATTATTTTCATCAGGATGAAATATGCAGACATATTTACAACTCCTATGGTCCCGTATAGTAAACATAGGAACATAAATGAGCTGTATATTAGATCAATTAAATAATATGTAGTAAAATTGATTGATGTATTCACAAGGTGGGCCCCTCGTGTGCTCATGAAACGGGTCTTACCATGCTCACTACGTACCTAGATTTTTTTGTTTGTTGTTTAACGTCCCTCTCGAGAATTTTTCACTAATATGGAGACGCGGTGGAGAGCTGCAAACTTTGATCTATGCTCGGCACTTAGGGCCATTGAGCAGTGAGGGATCTTTTTCGTGCCAGCACCTACTGCGACACGGGACATCGGTTTATACAGTCTCATCCGAAGGACCGGTCTTCACGTCCCACAGTGGGATTCCAACCCGCGACGTAAGGATCAACTCCTTACTCCGCAACTCTAGAGCACTGCGCCAAGGGCGACTACCTAGATTTTAAAAGACGGGTTTGTAAATATACCACCAAAACACTCTTAATTAGTCATGGTAAATTTTATTAACAAAATATTTCAAGAGTGTAGGATTCTAATAAGCTAAAGACATAAGGTTGATACGTCGCCGTTGTTTTATAACACTAACGAACTAACCCTCTGTGACCACATGTTGTGGGCGCCATTTTGTTTCCAACAAACGCTTGAAAATCACATTAGAACAAAATCTGCCGTTCTGATAAAAACGGATTTTAATGAAATTGTATTTTAAAAAATTGATAAACAGTAAAAAAAAAATATATTTGAATTATCTTATTAAAAAAAACTTTTAAGTCGGCGCGATTCAATTGGGTCGGTCGCGTTAGGGAAAACAAAGGTATTTTTTTTTATTTTGGCCTGATGCGAGGTCCCTGTTTCGATTCTCTTTCCAGCCATATACTTTCTGTTACACATATAATCGATTTGAAATACCAGCGTTTAAACGGACATTGTCTTAATCAAGGCCTGACTCTTTCAAATTGTTCGTCAGAAATGGAAAAGTGAAGATAACGCAGTTATCGATCTCAAAAAACCTACAAACAATACAAATTTGTAAAGAGGGCATAAAACACGGGCCCCCAAAAATTCATAATTAAAGGTGAGATCAGGTGCCTAGTGGGAGTTAGCGTCCCCTGTCGACCTGTCATACCAGCAGTGAGCTCTATTCCGAGTCAAATTTAGTGTAAGAACAAAGGCTAAACAATTGATATGAAACATTTCAAAATACCACAGCTAACAGGTTGTATTTGCTTACAACGAAATTTTTATGACCACTTAAATAGGGAAACTTTTTTATCCATGTTATTTGTTTTAAGATTAACACACAATAAATGTCTTGTTATTTGAGTGATGTTCGACAAATTATACTCTCTACCTTATATTTTACAAACTTACCTTGTGAAGCTTGATCCATCTTCTGTTTTTTCATTTGTTTTGAATGATCATTATTCCTGTTGTCTGTATCTAAATCATTCGCTTCTATTGCTGATGATCCATTGCAGCTTTCTTGTTTGCCATTAAAGCCTTTACTTTGACTAGATTTATCTAAAAAGTACCCAACCCTTAGAAATAAAAATCCATATGCGTGAGACACTAGCCCGGTATTATAAGTACACATAGACTATTAACATAGCTGTTGAACTTAAAAGAAAGTTTGATCTCAGGAAAAAGGTATTTTTTAAATATTTTTTTATCGGAATGCAGAACTTTTGTTTCAAGACCTGGCACCAGACGTCATAGTTGTATTCAATTTCTAAAACTTTTCTTACCTTGCTTTCAAAATGAAATTATAAACGTATTTGTTCTTCAGATGAAGATATTTCAAAGATTTGTTTCTATTATTCCCTATGGAGAATATTTGACGCCTACCATAGTCCAACCCTTCATACTTGACTCACGCATTACTAGGGAAGTTTTGTTTTGTGGCGATTATCTTTGAATATGAATTAAACACTTTGTTTTGTTATGTATTTTTTAATACCTTGATGTCATGAAATAGTTATATCTTAGCTGTAAGCTACGGGATTTCAACACAATACGGACAGAAGAAATACTAACACTGAAAATTTAGGTAAGAAATAGAGTTTATATAAAAGTCTTAAAATGTAGATACAATTTAAAGTAAAACCTAAATTTTAAGTAATAATAGAGTTTATTAGTGCTTTTTCGAAAGTTGTCTGTTTACTTTTTGTTTCGAATAACAAGTAATAAAAAGGCAATGGTGTGATAGATAAAGGAATATCATCATACAAATACATTAACAGGTAGAGCAATTTTTTTATATAAGTTTCATTTCTTACCTGTGACATCACAGGTAATATTCATATAATTGTTGTCTTCGGTGTTTGTAGACGTTCTTGAGAAAATTATATATTTTTTTCCTCCAGCTATGAGTGCAACATTCCAAGAATAACAGATTTTGTTTTCAAGTCTGTGACAATTACCCTGGAAGCGGCAATCTTTGTTGTTAAAAAATTTCTCTGCAAAATTATTGAATATACATTGTATACTAGTTTTCTTATCTTAAAGGAACAACAATAATTCCGTCAAATTTACTGATATTCAAAGAGTTTACATGTAATCATATATAAATTTAAAATCATATTTTCTCTAATTATCTCGACAAAATGTACAAATAAGATCCACCTGTGTGCGCATTCTTAAACGGAAAAGATACAGATGGGCCAGGCCAGGCTTTGGTGTATGAAAAACATGGCAAACAATGATTGTCTCGTATCTCTGTAAGTGTTTTCAACGCTACTTCAAAACTGTGTTTCCTACAACGGAAACATTGATACAAAATCAGAAAGTATCAAACAAAACTGAATTCTAGATTACTTTCTCAAACATATTTAAAAAAAAATTATAAACATATAACAGGAATAATACTAGCCTTAACTTACGCAACATACATACTGTCATTAAGATAAACCTAATATGCATTTCGTAACTTACTCGTCATACTCAGTATAATTTCCGATTGTTTTTCTGGCTGTCCTAGATCTGCTTAGGATTGCTATATCTGTACAAAATAAAAAGAAAAAAAAATTAATAAGAGCGTCGAAAGTTTCGGTTGTTTATATTTTTATGCATTAATAACTTTTTAAAAAAATCTTACAAAACTGTATCACGAAACCAAGTACAAATCTTTTGCAGCACATGATTCTTCAAATTTAACTAAGCCATCTCTCTACTGTCATCCTCATTTCTGTTGTTCATCAGATTTCCTTGTGTTCTAGTATACAAAGACAACACAGTGCAAGAGATTTATTTTGTTTTATTTTTAAATTTTTAAAGGAAGTAAATAAGACATGTTGAGTCCTGATAAGTGGATTTTTTTTTTGTTCAACATTATGAATTTTCCTCGCTGTAAGAAGGTTTTTGTTATCCTTCCGTGCGACTCATTTCATTCTTTGAGAATTTTGAAAGTAAACAAGCAATCAATTCCAAACATTTTCATATACTATTTAGAACCTTTTCACCAGGCTTGTATAGTTTTCTATCTTAATATTGAATTTTGGTGATCTTTAGATAACTTTTTTTTCATATTCTATACTTTCATTTCAACTGGGTTCATGTTGGATATGTTCAACTGTAAATAAATTTAGGAAAGGATGAGGAAGATGAAAGTATCATCGTAATGCATTCCTGTAAGTAGGTGAGAAACGTTTGGTGAAGAAGTTTATATACTTTAAATAACATATTCAATTTACTTGATTATGTTTTTACAAGAAAATTTTATTAATGCATTTATCACATGACAACGTCGCACCCCAGGGCTTTGATATATGTGGCTCACTGCGGTTGCGACCGGTCAACAGGGGATGCTTACTCCTCCAGGGCACTGATCCCACCTCTGGAATTTCCGGTGATCCATGTTTTATACCCTGTTCACAGATTTGTATTGTTTGTAGATTTTTCTTGTGATCGATCACTGTAAGTTATCGTCAGCTTTTTTAATATATTCGATCAGTGCATACTATCTATTCAAGATATATTACTAAAGTCAGGTACTCTTCACACAATTGCTCTGAAAAAATATAGTTCCATTCATGATCAGCAGATACCTACAACATTACAACAATGTTTAGAATATAGATGTGTATGTTTTACATGGAAGAAAACAAAGTTTACGTAAAATGATTTTAAGAAAATCATTTTATCCCCAGAAATGTAAATATGAAGTATTCATATTCCTAAGCTAGCCCACTCCTCAGCCTTTTTCGAAAATATGTAGGTCATTCTTCGATTGACAATCTCTTCACCAATTACATTACTTTCATAATTATTGTTCGTTAATTATTATACAATATCTTATGATAGAAAATGTTAATCATTAACTGTGTGTGTGTATGTTTTTTCTCTCTTTTTTTAACTGTTTACTGACGGAATGGTTATATCACAGCTGCAATCGCAACTTCTCATGACTTCCCGACAAGTGGAAAAACAACGAGTTTAGATGCGATTGACTTTCTGATCGCATGTGTGTAGACCTAGGCTATTTGGTCTTGCAATCACAGGTGTGTGCACTGTTTGCTAGTGACGCAAGACTGTGACAGTATTTGCTACAAACTGAAGAACTAGTTTCATAACAAGTGCATTTTATTTCTTATAGAGATCAGCTGAGCACAGTGAAAATTCGAGTAAATTAAAAGTCTTGGATATGGGGTAACCCATATCTATTCTTGTATTGTACTGGATTCTCAGTACAGTACTTGCAATTTTTTGCTATGTCTTTGAATAATAACTCCTTTTAAGAAAGCGTATTTTTCACCATAATTGATAATTGATAAACTTCTTTATCTTAACGGCGCATTGTTTTCGTTGTTCTGCAGCGTAATGCAGCCGACGAGAAAGTAAGCGGGATAAATCAAAAACTGTAAACCAACTTTTATTCGCGTGCGAGAAATATTCGCGAGTTTCGCGGTCTACTTTAACTCGCGAATATTAATCGCAGCGAACCATTTATTTTGCTTTCTATTTGTAGAAAATGTTTCCTTAGTCGCAAAAATTAATCGTCGCGGATTGATTTCAAACTGACGAATTCGCGAATAAAAGATGAAGCGAATAATAGTTGGTTTACAATATGTCAGTAATACATGTGATCAAAAGAATCGTCCTTTTTAATTTTTATCAAACTTGTGTGCTTTCTATTCAATGTCAAATACTTGAATATAAAAAAACGTACAACCTTGAGAATAAAAACCATATTCAATCAGAAAAAGTGAGAAAATATACACAATGTATGTATATTTTTTTAACATTTTAGTATATCTATTTTTATTTCTTCCAAAAATCGATATTGTGAGCTTAACGAGGTTGGATCCTGATATTTAAAGTCTTAAACTTTTTTTGTCAAGTATATTTTAAGTTTCTACACACATAGCTTAATTAAAAATCAAAACCAAAAATGGGGGTCAATATGCTTCTTTTGGCGCTAGAGTATAATTAAAATATGACCTTTTTGCACTGAAATTTGTCTCTTAATCAAAAATCACATCTTTGAGTTTTTCCTCCAATGATTTTATCCAAATAAATCATGGGACAAAATAAATTATCAGTATATTTAATAAAAGACACTTTAAAATTGTGACTAAGAAAAAGTTTCAAATTGCTTCGCATAATCAATTATTTGACCTTTCTGCACTCAAAAAATGTGATTTTTCTGTCATTAGAAATTTAACAAGCAAGAAAATTATTTTAAAGTCTTAAACTTTTGCTGAATTTAGGCAGATTGATCAGTTATCTTATTTATTCAGAAAAGTAAAACAAAAGTGGGGGTCTATGATGTAAATTTTTAGATATTACTAAAAAAATTAATTTTATGTTAAATTGGCTAAATTTTTTCCTGGACTTTCAGAATATATTTACTATATTTGTCACATTATAATGAAAGAATTCATAAAAAATAATTTAATAGGTATTTCATAACCAGCATAAAACATTTCACTGCAAAAAACAGTTCTGTGTGCAACTAGCATGGAAAAATAGGAATCTAGACTTAACAGTACTGTATATATTTTAAAAGGGAAAAATTGATCATTTTCTCCTAAAAACCTTCCACCACAAAATATAGTTCCTGGGTAAATCCTCTCTGAATGGAATTTAATCGCGGTTTTTTCATTGGAAATAGTTCAATTGCATTGTAGAATCCAAATTTAATGTTTGAACTTAGAAATGATGCAGAATTTTATAAATAAAGGTCCAGACCAAAATCTGTCCAAAAGCTCAGGATCGAACCTCCTTAAACAGGATTACAATTAAAATGCACAAAACAGGAGTCAATGAAATGATTTTTATTTCATGTCTTGCTTTACGTGGATTGAATCGTGTATACATATGTAATATTGACATAGTCAACGTTGTAAGGCCTTACTTGGTGTTTATATATATATATATATATATATATATATATATATATATATATATATATATATATATATATATATATATATATATATATATATATATATATATATATATATATATATATATATATCAAAAAAGTTATTACATGTATTTAATACCCCATATGATGCAAATGTAGTCAGAGCCTGTTTTTTTTTTTCCTTGAATTCCCCGTAATACATTGTGAGGATAAATTTTATTTTTGTTCAAAATTAAACCAATTGTTATTCTTATCGAGTACATACTAGTAATTTACATCACATGGTTACATTGCCGTATAGATGTTGCGAGGATTTTATATGTGATAATGAAGAACATGGTTTCGTTTATTTTCATTTTTGAAGGTAAGGGTGAGTGCAATGACGTTATAACTGCAATTATATATAATTCAAAACAATATTTTTAATTGGTAACTCCGAGTTTCTTTTTATGTATTTCTTTTAACATTAGGTATTCTTTGAATAAGCAGAAGGTGTTTGAATGATTTGGGTGGTGTTCTTTAAATAAATTGTCGATTAATTTAGAGAATTTTGACTTATTTATTGTTCTAATGTCACGGAGAGAGAGAGAGAGAGATGTTGAATTTAAGAATCCATAAAACGAGATTAACAGTATTTTTTCTGATTTTCGACGTTTAAAATGCCCAATGCATCAAGAAATTTAATAAATAATTACAAAAAGGAACTTCTGTTTTGTGATTGAATATGATTTTTATTTTAAGAACTGAATACTTTCGATCCCAAGTCCTGTATAACTGTAAAGTAGATATTGCAACAAAATATATATAACGTTTTTAAAATATTTTGTATTTAACAATTTTTTTTTAATTTTCTAATTATTTTTGGTGCACCAGTACATTCCTAAGGTAGTGGAAAAAACTGGGAATCTCGTCCAAATTATGTGTTCACACTTAATTGTTTTGTTGTGGATATCAAAGTATTGCTATTATAAATAAATAAAGAACTCAACTGTTTACTTTAACGGACCTATGCTTGCTGTCCTGGGTATAGTCTTCTGAGTTTAGATATACAAAAAAGGCTCAATGCGGACTATTTAAAAGCAAAAATTGAAGTTTATTGAAAGCATATTTTGAAAAGACAATATTGTCTTGTCAGTCTTTCATCCGCTACATCTTACAATCTTAATTGGTCTAAAAATGCCAATATCTATTAGCAGAGGCAGGCATTTCAGGTGCAGGAATCTACCCCCTTCTCTTTTTGATATAGCTTTTATTAAATATTTTTATCTAAAGATATGTTAGAAATTTCAAGAGAAAAACTTTTTTTAATCTAGTTCTTTTATTTTTTTCTCTATTTTGATTGATTGTATGTTGTTTTACGTCCAATTCGAGAATTTTCATTCATATAGAGACGTCAGCATATACCGGTTAAGGGCTTCTACATCGCTTCCTACGATCAAAGGGTTAAACGTACGTTATCACGTTGTTTTTCAGCAACAGCTGAAAGTCAAAATATCAGTGAAATGTTTTAAAACCTTATCCTGATGCCCTACTTAAAATTTCTTTTTATGTTATTTGACTCTTTTGTCAAAGCCATTCTCAAGGCTTTTTATTTTCCTTAGGGATGAAGCGGTAACAAATTACATGTATGTCGCTTTGATGTCCACTTCAGATGGCAGTATCAATTTTCAGGTCACCTGAATCATTGAGGTGACCTATTGCTATCTGTTTTCGTCCATCGGCGTGCGTCCTCCTCTATTGATTATATAGTGAAAATGCATAATTTCTTTGAAAATATTTTTTTCTGCTCCTGATTATAAAGCAAAACAAGGTGTGTTCGAGAAACACTGATGCCCCCATATGGCAACTTAGAGCAAAGTTAAACTTTCTCAAATGCAAATAAAATATGTTGGTACCAAAAGTAAGGTCTTGTCTCGAGGAATATGCCTGTGAAATATGAAAGCCCTAGCAGCAACCATTGAATAGATATGGAAAAGGTTAAAGTTTATCAAAAGTAAATCAAACATCAAGGTCAAGGTCAAGTGGTCAAAATTAATGGTGCCAAAGGAAAGGCCTTCTCAAAAGAAATACACATGTGAAATATGAAAGCCAGAGAACCAATCGTTCAAAAGTTATGTCCAAGGTTAAAGTTTTCAAAAGTAGGTCAAACTCCAAGGTCAAGGTCAATGGATTACAATTGTTGGTATCCAAAGGAAGGTCTTGTCATAAGGATTACATATGTGAAGTATGAAAGCCCTAGCACCAACCATTCAAAAGTTATGGCCAAGGTTAAAGTTGGGCAAGGTTTTGCAAAACTGGGTCAAACTCTAAGGTCAAAAGGTCAAATATGATGGTACCCAAAGAAAGGTCTTGTCACAAGGAATACACATGTGAAATATGAAAGCCATGGTTCCAACCAAAAGTTATGTGCATTGTTAAAGTTTTTGCGGACAAACAGCTAAAGAGACATACTAGTTATGAAGAGCGAGAGTACCTCTTCCAAATTTGTGAATTTCATGACCATGGGTTCTGGTGTTAGGATGAAACTTTGTTGAATCTATAGTAAAATGCATTATTTCTTTGAAAATCTTCTCTGCTCCGGATCCCCCAGGCATCTCGGAGACAGAGTAAATGTTTTAATAAGCAAGGGCATTTTTACAGATTTTTGAAATTCTGAACCACTTGGTCAAGTGCCCTGGTGCTGGCCAGGGCTCATTAATTTGTTTTCTACTGAGAGAAGGTATTTCCCATTGCTATTCACCTTTGATAATTAATCACTGTAAATAATGTATTTGAAAGGTTAATAGAATAAGAAAAATATAAAAGACCTTTTATTGTATAAAACAAAAAGTACTGAAATAGTTGTAATGATCAGTTAGACTTGTAAATAAAAGATAAGTAAGAATGAGACAAAAATAATTCATCTTATTAAATACCCTTTAAGGTAAAAATATGGGGTTAAATATAGTATAGAAGCACTATTGGTTTGTTAATAATCTGCTTTGTGATTGTGATAAACGAGGGCAAAAAGAACTTATGAGTACAAGATTAAGTATTTCATTGATCCTGGTCATCCTATTTCCAGTTTTTTAAAACTTCTATGGATCCTCTAAATTGTTGTATTATGCACAGGTGACCATTAAGGTCCTTGGGACTCTTGTTTGATCGTGTAAAGGTCAATATTGACTGTGTTTACGATCATTCTGATCGTGATTCCTGAAAACATTACAACAAGTGTTTAGAGAATACCGTAACAGATATTCCAACCAAGAGTTGAGATGCAGAACAACTTGTTCAATCTTATCCTTGATGCTGTGGTACTGATTCGTTTTCAACAATGCCGTCTTTAAACGCTGCGTTCTTAGGAAAGTGTCTGGCCTCTTAAAGTGATTTCACTAGAGGTAACGCCCTTCTTTTTGCGAGAGGTATAACGCTTACCCAAAATACCCATTGTTATTTTCATACTGTCTATTTTTTTATTTGTCCTTTTTGTTTCTCATACGTGTAATGGGAGATAAATGGTTGTTTGTTTGGTTGTATGTTGTTCAACGTCCCTCTCGAGAATTTTTCACTCATATGGAGACGCCACCACTTGCCGGTGGAGAGCTGCAAATTTTGTCCTATACTCGGCACTTACGGCCATTGAGCAGCGAGGGATATTTTTCGTGCCAGCACCTACTGCGACACGGGACCTCGGTTTACACGGTCTCACCCGAAGGACCGGTCTCCACGTCCCACAGTGGGATTCGAACCCGCGACGTAAGATAAATGGTAAAAAGGTTTTAAAAAGAAGGATTTCCTTTAATTTGCATCGAATAATATAAAGCTAGAGAAATTCAATTTTTATCAATATATATATCTATTGGAAGTGAAATGGGAAGGAATCAAAATAAAATTAATTTCCTGTGCATTCATACTGATATTGCATTTAATTCAAAAATGGTCATCATGTGGGAAATGAAAATATATGGTTTTCGTACTGCCTTCTTGCTTAGTTTATACTGATGTTCCTTCTTGGTATATTGGAAATAATGAAACAACGAAGATGCTGAAACTGCCTTTTATGCCTAAGATAAATATTTAAATATATCGGGAAAACGTTTTCGTTTTTTATTATACATGTATGATCCGATCTGAAGAATATCTCTTTGCATAAAATAAACTGGCCCTCCATAGATATAAAATAAGCACTTCAATTATAATATATTAGCTTGGTATGAATTAAGTACAAATGTGAATATCTGCCTGAATCTCATCCTCTCGTGTACGTGTTTCCTTGTTGTGTGATCATATTTCCTCATTAATATGTTCTATGGTGTACTTCAACAACGCTTTAGTCAACTTCCTTCTTGATTGCTGAAATACCATAATAATTGTATAAATAAATTGTTAGTCATGATAATATATTTTCAAATCATTCACAGGTGAAATGTCAGCAGACTCTACTGTGGGATGCCCTTGCGAGTGCACTTCAAAAGGTATAGTTATTGTAAGAATGGAGTAATACATTGTGAATTTTGTTGTTTGACGTATATATCTTAATAATTGTGAATAATTTATCCTCATTTAGGGAAGTGAAAGAGCTATCATCTTATACTTGAATGATATTTACTTTTTGACCAGAGTTTGTTTTTTTTATACTGAGGCAAAAATATATATTTTCCGAAGGAGGTAAAACTTTAGAGGATCTTTTCTCTATATTAAGCACAATATGTTTTTTTGACTGGAAGAATATTATAATGTTGATTTTTGTGCAATATGAACTTTGCCATCGATTCAAAGATAGCCAACACGTCAGAAAACATTGAATGAATATTATTTATATTTTATATCATTTACTTAAGTATAAGTCTAAAAAATGTATAAACAACTCTGCTGCCTTAGAAAACTGCAGTTATTCTTTTCCGTATCTGGCAGGTTGCACAGCAGGGTCTGTATTCGCAGGGATCATTGTAGGGATTCTGTTGACTTTTCTTATCCTCCGCGGCAAATGGAACTGGATCAAGATTAAATTGTTAGTATGTAAAATTAGTGTCAAATTCTCAACATTATTATCAAAATATTAGCCACGATTTTTTTTTACTTTTATACACAAATGCATGGTTCTCTTTATGGTTTGATAGATTTAACAGATTCTTTCAAAAACCAAAAGCAGTTTCCAATGCAGCTTACGAGCCAGATTTTAACTTTGACCAGGTAAGATATAATTAAAGTTGAAATTATTATTTCAATAAATTAAATAAATTATGCTCAATATTCAAAAAAATATGTTCCTTTTTTCCTCTGTTTTGCTTTATACTTAAATGCCCTCTAATATCGATTTTTTTATGTTTGCTAGAATGCTTGCGAATTAGGTAAAAAGGACAGCAGTCCATACACAAACGTTGTGATCAACGCAGGACATGGAGTGGAAATTGTAGACACTCCACCAAACGAGGAGAATTCAGGGCAGGAGGAGGTCTACGCTGTCAGCCTCAAGAAATCTATGAAACAATCAGGATTGTCGGAAGACATTGTCCAAAAAATCGCCAGTCTGCATGGAAACAAAATTATAGCCAGGAAGTCAGAGGAATTCGAGGATTTTGTAGACATCGAAAAAGTAAATTGTATCTTCAAATAAAAGAAGTTAAAGAATAGAAAAGATAACCCTAAATCATCTTATCGTAACATTTTAAAGTATTTTATCTTTTTAAAATATTTTTCCATAACAAAGAAAATATGATAAAAATTTTTTTAAATACATCAACGATTATTTAATCTTTGTTGAATGGTTGCCAAACTGAGCAAAATTAATTGATGTCAAAATAAGCTTGCATGTATCTAAACATAGGAACAACAGGTTCTCCAACAAATCCCTTTTCCTGTTGTTTCAGAAATCGGATGAACACATGGCGGCTTCCCGCTCTGCAACTCTCCCAGTAATGACAAAGAAAGGCGTGTCAATCCTCAAGGACGACAAAAAGACATCTCTGGGTAAAAACAGCAGTAAAGTGAAAAGTAAGAAGTGTACTAAAACAGTCAGCATCTCCGAAGACAACGAATCGAACAAACTAGAGGAAAAAGAGGACTTAATGACAACAAAATCTGCTTTTGTGATGACCGAAGCTTCCTCTAACGGGGATTATTTTGTGTTAGATAAGACCTTCTGCTGAAAACAACCTCCATATTTTTGTTATGCATCAAATTATTTCTTTTGGCTATATTTGGCGTATTTGGATAAGAACTTTATAACATGCGTAATACATTACAAAACATTTTTAAGCTTTGTAATCTACAAGCTTTATATCATCATTTCGATTTATTTTTCGCCATAGAAGAAAGGGCAGTTAACATATCATACATGTATAATATATGAAATTAACAAAAAAAGAAAGTTGACGTAGGAATATTCGTAATGGATGTATCTAAAGGTTTTTTCATGTAAAATATTTTAATTTTTTATCGACATTTAATCTTTTATAAGATTTTTTCCGGTTTAGAAACGGGTTTGAATGCTAGTCTTGACTTAAATATTTAATGTAAATATCTGCTATATTTGTATGTCAAAGCAAGGTATTTCCTATTAACCATTCATTTACATATAGATATACGTTTAATTAAGTACAGTTGTTTTTACATGCACACGTGACTCTCACTTGCTCTTGATAGTTATGTTTATGTGCTAAAAACCGTTTGAGTATTAAATTAATAATTTTAATCTAAAATAACTCATATTTAATTATTGGTTTTAACAATGAGAAGTATGACTGGTATAATGTTTGATTGTGTGTGTTTGTGAGCGCGAGAGAGAGAGAGAGAAAAAAAAGAGAGAGAATTCTCTTTCTATTTTATTCTTTTGTACTTTTGAGCATTTTATTGAGAATTCTCTTTCTATCTTATTCTTTTGTACTTTTGAGCATGCAATACGTTGATTTCGTTTGACTTAATTTCAGAGAATTCCCCCTCTGTAACACGAGGGGTTATGTTGGAATGTGGCAGATATACACATTTATAGTGAAATGATTGAGACAGCTGATACCTTTACTAGGTCTCCGAATAATCCTATCTGTCACAATTAAGCGGAAATGAACAATGAAATTTTAATTAGTACAAATATTCCCGATATATTATTTAAGGAAGAAAGCATTGTATTTTCCGCATGCGTTCAAATTTGTGAAATCATATTAATTACTTTTTTTTCAACTGGAAAACAGCATACTTCCAGAATTTGATGACTGTCTGTTGTACAATATGAATAAGGAACACAGTTCCAATTATTACCTTAGGACAGCTCATCACGAAATCAACAATTTAAAAAATCATGATACAGAGTTTCCTGGGCTGTTTCAAGGAAATTCGGGAGCTTATTGATGAGAATCAATGATTACAATATATTTCTAGCCAGCTTCCCTGGTAAACCTACAAAGTCTGTATAAATATTTTTCAATTATGAATTTCATTTTAATTTGGAAAAAAGGACTAATCTTCTTTCATCTATCATTCAAACTATTCCAATTCGATGTTATCGAGATAAATTTCATTATCTAGGGCTGAGTAGCTCTTAAACATTTTTTCTTTATAACTCAGGAATTTTCCTGGTTAGAATAAAATGGGCATTTGCATGATATCCATCAAGTTATTGATAAATAACAAGTGCACTGTAATGACATATATCATTGAAAGTTTTATCAAATTTGAAATTTATTTTGTAAATACAAACTTAAGGCTACTTTGCATAAGTAACATTATCTTTTTTATTTGTCTAAAACACAATCTACCTACTTCTCAAACAATATCCGACACATATTACAGCATAGACAAATAAAAATTTCTTAAGCAATACACCTTACAGACAAACAAAATGATGCAGTTAATGATGAGTTAATGGCATGAAAATATAAAGAAAAACTTGTGAAACACTGATGCCCCTTATGACGGCTCATGACAAAGGTGAAAGGTGAAAGTTTCTCAAATGCAAGTCAAACTCCAAGGTCAAGGTCAAAAGATCAAAATTGCTGGTACCCAAAGAAAGGTCGTGTCACAAGACATACACCAGTGAAAAAAGAAAGCCCTAGTACCAACCGTTCAATAGTTATGATCAAGGTTAAAGTTTTTCAATGTAGGTCAAACCCAAAGTTCAAAGAGTCGAATTTAATGGTACCTATTGGAAAGTCTTGTCACAAGGAATGTACATGTGAAATATGAAAGCCTTAGCCCCAACCATTCAAAATTTATGGCCAAGGTTAATGTTTTTCAAAGTAGGTCAAACTCCAAGGTCAACATCAAAGGGTCATAATTGTTGGTACCCTTTGGACGGTCTTGTCACAAGGAATAAACCTGTACAATTTGAAAGCCCTAACACCAACCGTTCAAAAGTTATGACTCAATAATCTCCTGTGCCATTTCGGCACTGTTGCACAACTCACTCAATTTTGACATATTTTCTGCTTCCTCCAGCATTTTCAGAGGTTTTTCTGAATTTTTCTCGAGTGCAACACAAAATTTAATTGATAGTCACTGCTCAGTTACATTCTGCGACGTCAGCTTTTTTTTCAAACAGGATTACCCATCTTCTGAAATTGCATGATTCTTTTCAACGAACCATACTGTTAAGTCACAATTTGGCATATAAAATGATGTAACAATTCTTACTATGAACACCTAGATTGGTTTCCAATTTTGCGTCCTTTTACAGAGATATGAGTACAGACATTATATCTGCATAGTTTGTAAATTACTAAATTCTTACTCTGATCCCATTTCGCGATTTTAAATTTTGTTTTTAATGAATTAAGTTTGAAATATATCATGATACATTTGATAATTTAAATTCAAACCATTCGATTTATTTTTAAAACATCTTTATCTAATTTGGATATCATGTGACTTGTAATATTATGACAGAAGTCCGCGAACTTTCCAAACAACCTTCGTATAGTAAAAAAAAATCACCTGAAGTCTTCTCTTAACAACAGATGCATATGTCATGAGTAATCTTTATGTATTTGCAATCATCCTCAGGTGGTGCATATTCAAGCCACGAGCCATGTCTATAAAGGAGAAAAAAGGTTTGTTTTTTTTCAAAATTTAAAAGACCATTTTATCAATGATTTTAAAACGTGCTAAAAGGTATACTCCTCTGCTTGAACAACTAGATTCTTCTTATCGATGAATACTTTGTAACCTCTATAAACAGTATACATATATTAGAAAATAAGCAGATTAATCACACTAGTATATGTATGTAGGAATGTATATTCTTATCTTAATGGCATTTTATATAAGTATACATCACCAAAAGAGTTTTATAAACAGATCGAATAGGTCACAATGTACTTGAACCATTTATGTGCTTCAAGTGAAATTTGAAGATAATTAATTGGATTTTCAAAAGGCCAGGGAAATTCTTAAATCATTAAAGTGATTTACTCTTGTTAATGACATATGTACAAGCTCTCTAGATCTGTTGCATTGAGCTATTTGAAAATGTCAACATATCATTAGTAAAAATGCCATTGAGATCATTAACACATGCATGTTTATAATTATATTCAGTGTATATATTATTTCGGTTCATTATCAAAAACACTTATCTTTTTAAGTACAGTTAGCAAACAAATCATGATTTTAATACATCTGCATAAAACAATTTTAATACATCTGAAAAACATAAAACTATACTAGGTCTTGTTGATCAATTGGGTCTACCTCTAAATAAATACTAATGAAGTTGTATTCTTATCAAACAAACTTAATAGATCTACAGGTATTACAATCAATCGCCCACGTCCTCTGAAGCTCCTGAACTTGCCAAGTTCTTGCTTATTTTTTCTTTAAGTTCTCTCTCTTTCAGGTGTTTTTATACTAAATTTGACTGCGGAATGTTCCATCTACCTGATCAATACACAGGGCTCACGGCGGGTGTGACCAGTCAGCAGGGGATGCTTACTCCCCCTAGGCACCTGATCCCACCTCTGGAATATCTAGGGGTCTAAGCTTTGTGGCGTGTTCACAGATTTGTATATTGTTTGTAGATTTTTTTTTGTGAGATCGCTCCTTATCTTCAGCTTTTTTCATTCACTTAATGACGCCTACAATGATATTTATTAACACCTATTCAGCTTTTATCAGACTGAGAACTGAGACGCATTCAGTGACTATATTTATTATCAGCTTGTATCAGACTGAGAACGAGACGCCTACAATGACAATACCTAGTAGGCTTGTATCAGACAGAGTACAGACACGCGTACAATGACAATACCTATTCAACTTGTATCAGACTGAGAACTGAGACGCATTCAGTGACTATATTTATTATTGCATGGCTGGTATCGGACTGAGAACTGAGTTACTTACAATGACAATACTTAGCTTGTATCAGAAGGTAAAGATAACGAATAGTGATCAATCTTAAAAAATCCACAAACAATGCAAATATATGAAGAGGGCAAAAAACACGTACCCATGAGATTCCAGAGGTAGGATTAGGTGCCTATGAGGAGTAAGCATTCCCTGTTAACCGATCACACCCGCCATGAGCCCTATGTATTGATCAGGTAGACGGAACTATCCGTATTCAATTCAGTACAAAAACAAAGGCCTAAATTGGTATGAAACAAGTCAGCCAAAATTCGACCCAGTGATAGGTTATATTTTCTAATAAGGTCATTATAACGACCATATAATCTACAAAATGCTGACTTTGAACGTCATTTCGCTGTTGAAATCCCTGTAACATCCACTTATCAGTGAGTAGCCTGCCTCGCTTTAAAAATTGATCGTACTTAGAGCAAGCTTTTGATTAGCGAATAAGTTTTGAGACATAAACACCATTAGCAGTTGATAGTTGAATATTACTACATAAATAAAGAAAGGAACTTAGACGCTTACAATGACAATACCTAGTCGGCTTGTATCAGACTGAGAACTTAAATGTTTACAATGACAATGCCTAGTCAGCTTGTATCAGACTGAGAACTTAAACGCTTACAATGACAATACCTTGTAGCTTGTATCCAACTGACTTTATACAACAGACTTTATATCTATCCAGTTCTGGTTTGTAACTTTGTTCAACTGCATGGCTAATACAAATTAGTGCTTAGAAATCTGTCTTTAAAAATCAAATACATGTATAATACATATAAAAATAAGTAATGGCGTTATAAACTGAATTTCAGGCATCCAAAAATATGTCAGCAAAAAAAAAATTAGATTATAAAACTTGTGTTTTTAGAGCTGTTTCGACTCTGACATTGGTTTTTTTTCCCCCAATTTTTGTGGGTAAATTTTGATATTATTATGATTCAATACAGTTGTTCTTTTTCTCAAGCTCATAATAATTCAGTAATGCACACCTATCTTAATTCGCTTTTGCTTGCTCCATTGGTTGACAAACAGCTTAAACATTAAATTTTATTCTCAAGCCTAAACTCAAACAAGATTTTCCCCTATATTATGTACTTGTATGTAATAATGCAAATCTTAAATATGGCAGCTATCAGATTCCCTTTACACAACGCAGAATGCTTTAAAACATTACTAAAGGAAATTATATCTTAAGAACTGTTCACTTAGAATATTTTTATAATAAGAGGTATATTATAAAGACCAAATGTTTTGTAAAACTGGGAAGAAGGCTTTTATAATTAAGCATTTCATTTTTTGCTTTGTGTAAAGCCAGATA